TAACTAGATCTCGCAAAATGCTGATCCAGCCTAGATTTTTTTCCACAGTTTCTGGCAATTCCCCTGCCCGCCGTTGCGTATTTCGAGCGTAACAAATGATGCCCAAGGGCGAACACGAATGTGTTTGCCCCCAACACGTTCGTGTTTGCCTTAGCATGCAAGATGTTCGCCCTCACAGGCGAACATCGAACACCATTTTTTTTAAAAGGTGTTCGGCGAACCGAACACTGTTCGGTTCGCCGAACGGCAGTGTTCGAGCTGGGGCGAACGCGAACACGTTCGTTTTCGGCCCGTGCTCATCCAACCGGGTTACGTCATTGTTTTCTGAGCTCCACAAACCTTGCTGACCATACCAGCAGTCAGGTAGTGAAATACATTGCAAATTTCACGATTTTTGGCAGTGCGACAGTAGTAAACTACCGCCAAAAGGCAAACACGAACATGTTCGCCCTCAACATGGTCGTGCTCAGGGCGAATTAAAGCCCAGCCCTTGAACTGCAGAAAGCTTTCACAAATTGGGCCCAGTTTGTGTCTCGCCCCTACTTGGGTTCAGGGCAAAAGGGTTTCGGAAGTTTTCCGAACCTCCAAGTGCCTGCATTTTCGAAGCTGTTTTTCCCGCGTTGACTTCAAGCAATTCGGGTGTTGCCCTTAAAGTGTAAAGTCAAACATGTTCGAGTGTCCAATTGCTGTTGTCGAGGCACGTCCAACATCGAACATGTTCGAGGGCTCGACCTGTCAAGGTTGAGATTGAAACGCAATGGCACTGGAGGGGGAAAGGCTTGAGGAGGAGGACTTGGAGGGGGCTGTGGAGGGGGTGGGGGATGTGGAGGTTGGGGATGGGACTGTGGAGGGGGAAGGGAGGGGCCGTGGAGGGAGGGGGGGGGGGGGGAGGGGACTGCTCGAACCGAACACGTTCGTGTTTGGGTTGAACAGGTAACTGTTCGTATCAGACACTAAACTCTTCGGCCCCATGAGCGAACTGGCAAACATCACTTTTTGGAAAAAGTGTTCGACTTGAACCGCATACGTTCGGGTTCAACAGTTGCTCATGCCTATATTTATGAACGTTCACCATCCAAAATGTTTGGCTTAGCGACTTAAAAAAAGCTGGCTGCATCCATAAACGACACAAAAACTCGAACTCGAATAAGCAAGATTGCGTTTTCTTGAAGATTTGACCCTGTTTAAACCCTGATGACCATAAGCGTCGACACGAGTCAACAAGTCAGGCCCAGCTCGACTCGAGTTGGGTCGAACACAATCGGGACCTCTTCGGCCCGAACCTGTCAGGCTGGTTCGACGAGGGAAAAAGAAGCGCATCAACCTGTTCGTTACGACGCGGCTCATACCGGAAGCAAAAGACCCAGATTGGCAACATACTTGTACCAACTTAAAAGTTTATCGCAAACCCACAGCTAACCATGCAAAACGTTTCTTGATGAAGTTAGACGTCTAAGCAGCACAGTTCAGTTGATCAAGAACTTTGTGTTATGTATTCTTTGTGCAACCAAGAATCAAATTGCGTCGATGCCGTATAACCCCGATATCGTCTGATCCTCGACAGGACCAGGTAATAAAAAAGACTTCAAAACACAAGTCTCACAGTGAATTTATGCCTGTAAGGCTTCCAATCCAGTTAGGTATGGATCCCGACAGATCGTTTGAATAAAAAGATCTGCAATGTGGAGAATAGGAAAAAATAAATAAAGAGCCATGGAAAGCATAGTAATTGTCTAAACAAAAAAGATTAAAACGTATATACACCCAAGCACGCACATCCAAGAGGGGCTAGGTGGCAGGCAAGTGCACATAGACAAGACAAGATTAAGAATACATTTGGTTCAACTCCCACTCTCTCCTTGTACGTTAACAGTAGAAACAAGCACCGCAACACCAGCACAGAGCTAATGATTGCTTCCAGCGCAACATTGGCAACCCATGAACGACTAATACTCACAATGATTGAAGGTTTGACATCATAGACATGGAGTCGGGGATTGTTCCATTCAGGCTGTTGAACTCAAGAGTCCTTATGGTGAAAAGGCATGCACCCAGTGAATGAGCATCCAAGGGAACAGATTACACGTGTAAGTGTAGTGAGTTTACGATGACGAGCACGTTGAAGACGGTTTTTTGTTTGCCCGATATTGCTTATGATACACACAGATTCATCATGCTTAGCATTTCTTGCTGTACAGGAAATCTGGGATTTCACAGAACATGTGTATGTGTGTTAGCGCAGGGCTGAAATGAACCCATCATCGCCCTCATCGCAAAGTACTCAATTTATGCCTCGCCAAGTCAGACAGAAGCTTGTTCAGACACAGGCGATGATTGGTGCACACTGGGATTCAAACCCAGGACCTTTGACCATGACCCTAGGCTGGCCGGCATGACCCTAGGCTGGCCGGCATGACGGCGACTTTCGAAAGAGCTGTCCCATCGAGGCCACCCTCGATCGGCCCGGCCCTGGTCTACGCCGGCCTTCAGCCTGGCCCGTGCTTATGCCTACCAACAAGTACCGCATATCACCCAACTCGACACGCTGTTTTAGAACAAATCAATTAATGAAAGGGCAACACTTGAGGTGCTTGTCTTGTCCCAATCCTACTCACAATACTTTCAGGCTGCTCAAACGTCCAATAGTTGATGGAATGGATCCGGTGAAGCCATTTTCAGAAAGTTCCCTAAAAAGGGATGGGAAGGTAAGAGTAACAGCGTGCATGTACTGACAAGCAAGCTTACTTGGAATTGACGGAGCCAGTGTTTTGACGCTAGCGTTTTGACGCTAGAATTTTTACGCAACGTTTTTTACGCTGGTTGCAACCCTCCGAGAGTTTGACGTTGGTTTTGACGCTCTGGCGGGCAGGAAAAAAAATCCTACCATTCGGCAGCTTACAAAACCCTTCAGGTAAAGATCGCCTTAAAACGCCTAACCTAAGATCGCGTTCTAAGCTAGCAACGGTAGAAAGTTGCTGGTCGAAACTCTAGAATGAAGTTGAGTAAGTTGAGGAGTGGGCTAAATGTGTGTGTGGTGGGGTGATGTAGATGTGGTGCGGTGGTAAGGGGTGGGGGGGTTGGATTATGTTGAATTTTTTTTTTTTTTTTTTCGTTTTTTTGTGTTATGTCTTGTCGAGTTGAAATCGACAGAGAGCATGTCGGACAGAGGGGGGGGGCGGGAGTAGGTAGGGGATGTGGAGTAGATAGGATACCGGTTTGCGTGTTTGTTTAGCTTGTGTGTTTGCATCTTCCACTGTACCACCTCATAAGTAATGCAAGGACCATTCGAGAGGGATGGGCACTTAGCGTCTGCCCTCTTCCCTCTGCCCCCTTCCCCTTGCTTCCTAGGTATATAAGGGCCTTTGGAACCCTCTGTTCCTCATTATTTCATTCAGTCGCAGAAAACAGTCGTTGAGAGAGCGAGAGAGATGGGAACTTAGCGTCTGCCCTCTTCCCTCTGCCCCCTTCCCCTTGCTTCCTAGGTATATAAGGGCCTTTGGAACCCTCTGTTCCTCATTATTTCATTCAGTCGCAGAAAACAGTCGTTGAGAGAGCGAGAGAGATGGGCACTTAGCGTCTGCCCTCTTCCCTCTGCCCCCTTCCCCTTGATTCCTAGGTATATAAGGGCCTTTGGAACCCTCTGTTCCTCATTATTTCATTCAGTCGCAGAAAACAGTCGTTGAGAGAGCGAGAGAGATGGGCACTTAGCGTCTGCCCCCTTCCCCTTGCTTCCTAGGCTGTGTTGCGGAAGACGCACGACGCGTCTTGCGTCTTGCGTCTAGACGCAGCGTCTAGACGCAAGACGCAAGACACTTGGCAAAAAAAAAAAGGGTCAGCCCGGAAAAAAAAAAAAATCCGCGGCCGAAATCGAATTTCGCGACTTCAAGGCGAAATTCAATTTCGCGCCATATGAACCCCATCCCACCCATTTCGACCATACAAACCAGCCCCCCTTGCAAAATTGATACCCCCCCCTACCAAATTTGAACAAACACCGCACTGCACCGCACAACATCTAGAAAACCGAACCTATTGAGGCAAACCACCAAGAGGTTGGGGAGCACAAAGCCCCCATTTGTGCACCCCATCTCTCATTTCTACCAATTCTCTTTCAAAAACCCTTTAGGGTTTTGCAAGTTCACTCAAAGTATAGGGAAAATTCTATGGTACGGGGAAAATTTGCCCCTAATGTGACATATGTGCATGTCCATCACCCTCCCCACTGCCCACAGAAGTTCTTTAGGCTGCCCGAACCTTTTTTTTAGGCCTGCCCAGGTTTCCGTCTAATATGCGTCTTTTCGGCACTGAAATGCGTCTTGCGTCTAAGACGCTGCGTCTAGACGCATCCGTCTAAGACGCAAGACGCGTCTTCCGCAACATAGTTCCTAGGTATATAAGGGCCTTTGGAACCCTCTGTTCCTCATTATTTCATTCAGTCGCAGAAAACAATCGTTGAGAGAGCGAGATAGATGGGCACTTAGCGTCTGCCCTCTTCCCTCTGCCCCCTTCCCCTTGATTCCTAGGTGTATAAGGGCCTTTGGAACCCTCTGTTCCTCATTATTTCATTCAGTCGCAGAAAACAGTCGTTGAGAGAGCGAGAGAGATGGGCACTTAGCGTCTGCCCTCTTCCCTCTGCCCCCTTCCCCTTGATTCCTAGGTATATAAGGGCCTTTGGAACCCTCTGTTCCTCATTATTTCATTCAGTCGCAGAAAACAGTCGTTGAGAGAGCGAGAGAGATGGGCACTTAGCGTCTGCCCTCTTCCCTCTGCCCCCTTCCCCTTGCTTCCTAGGTATATAAGGGCCTTTGGAACCCTCTGTTCCTCATTATTTCATTCAGTCGCAGAAAACAGTCGCTCGCGCCGGCGGCCGCGCGCTCCTGGTGGCAAGGAGGCAGGGACAAAAATCAACTAGCAAGTGAAGCATGACAACAACAATGACAACACCAAACAAGGCCTAGGCATCAAGATGCGGAACGTATACTCCCGACGGGTGGCGGAAACTACATCAGATGGGCATCCAGGGCTGCGAGGATACCACGCATGGTCCTCCACAGCTGTCGGACCACTAACGCGGTCGCACCGACAGCTTCAACTCCGCCACCAGCGTGCAGGTGCCGGGTCAGACCCTGGATCGTGTCGTCCAGCTGTGAGACAGCAACGTCTTCCTGCGCGGGAGATGCCAGCACGGGCAACAGGAGGAGGGCGAACTGTGGAGCCGCCGTCAAGCAATCTGCTCTCGGCCCGGGATCGAGAATGCTCTCTGGGCTTCGGAGAATGGCTGAATGTGAATTCACCAGAATCAGTGTCAGGGCCTGCTGGCACTCCACCAAGCGCCACAGTTGCCCAAGCGTCGCCGTGGGCACTTGGACCTGCAACGGAAATGCCCGTGCAGCAGGATCCGGAAGAGAAGGAGGAGGGGCCACAGAGGGACCAGCAACAGCACGTCGGGGAGGGACGAACGGCGCCGTCGCCTCTCCTGCTCCCGCTCCCACATATCCCATGCCCGCAACAGGAGGGACCCACGGTAGGTCAGGACCCGGCGCGGCAGCCACAGGCCGGGAAGCGGGTGCAGGGACGCTCAACAATAGGAGCTGGAACATGCTCATAGCCAGGCGCATGGGCCATCGGGATAGCAGGCTGAGGCTGGCAGCCACTGTGGCTCGACGCTCCAGCCTAAGCTGAGCGCATTGCAGCAGCCAACATCCCAGGGAACAGAGGGAGGGACTGGAGCACTCTCCGCCAAATCAACGACGGGTGCCGCAGGGAGCTCAACACCAGGCCGCTCTGGGTCAGCCGTCATCAGGAATGAACGAGGAGATAGGACGCGCTCCACTGACCCAGCGTCAGCGTGCGTTAGCAAACGCACGGTCAGCCCAGCAGATAGCTCGTGCAGCAAGCAGAGGACGCGGGACGAGAAGGCGAAGCACTGGGACGGCAGGTGGAGGACCGCGAAATTGCTTCCAAAGGGCTGCAGGACGGGCTTTAATAAGGCAAGAAATTGAGGCTGCTAATGAAATTGATGAAGCTCTGGACGCGACCTATGTATGTACCAGGAGAGGTGGTGGAATCATCCACTGAAGGAAGTGCTGAGACAGGGGATGAAATTCGAGCTTCACAGCAGCTAAGGGGTTTTCCAACACCAAGCCGAGCCGCATCTCAGAATGTTGCAATCGGGGGGGGGGGGGGGGGGGGGGGATTCCCAAAATGCACCTGGACAGAACGCGAACCCAGACCCCCCCGCGAATTTTTGCCAGAGCAGCTGGCGAGAGACAATTCGCGATTCCGCGAAGTTGGGAACTGGGACCTGACTCTCCTTCGCGACAGTCGTCAGCCCCCGCTGTCACGGAAACTCCCGCGTGATACCCACCCTTAGTTCGCAATGGCACTGCTGACGCCGCTACTGCACCTCGCGCGAAACCCTGAGTCAGTTGCAGGCTGGCACCTGCTGCTATTTATCCCGCGTCTGTTACTCCGTCAGAGCAACCCCAAGAAGCCTAATTGGACAGCAGTGTCAGCACGGATTCGCCAGTTCTTTGAGGGAGACTGTGGAGCCCTTTACGAGGGTGCTCGGGCAGCTGTCAACAGCAGGCTGGTAGTTACTCACCTTCCTCCCACGAATTTTACTTCGCACCTCGTCAGCTCGCAAGCCAGACTGGAACGCGATGATGCATCGCCTCCTCCGTTTTCGCCAGGGATACTGGACCAGCCTGTACGACAAAGCTGTCCAAGCAATTTCCCTCCCACCCCAGCCACGCCACGTACATGACACCACGGGAGTTCTCGCCAGAGCGGAAGGCTTGGCGAAACGAGCCAACCTGTCCAAATCGCTACAGACTCTCCAAGCTACACCAGTCGCAACGCCATCCCCTGCAGTGCTCAATGCCTTATAGGCGCGACACCCACGAGCCCACCAGGCCCTGCCCGACTAGGTGCGCACCTTCGCCACAGTGAACGCACCTGCAATTGACGCCCCCATGTTCAGGCGAATTATCGCAAACTTCCAAACTGAGTAGGGGCGTGGCCCTCAGGAACCACCTTTGAGCACATCCGTGATGCAGCTCTTGGAAACCAAGACATTTTCACTCACCTTCTCGCTCTTACCAACACAGCGTTGGCTGGAAAACTGAGTGCAGATGTAGCTGACCTCTCACCGCCTCTCACCTCTTAGCATTTACGAAGCCGCAAGGGGGGTAGAGACCGATAGCGACGGGTGAGTGTCTGCTGCGCATAATTGCCAAGGCCGCGCTCTTCGTGACGGCATCGGCTGCACGTGGGCACTTCGCCCTCCTTCAGTTCGGCATGGCAATCGCCGGTGGGATTGAGGCGGCTATCCACTCGGCGCGTACATACCTGGAAGTACACCCGGAAGCGACAGCACTGCAAATCGACCTTGCCAACGCCTTCAATGCAGTCGAGAGAGTGGCGGTGTTCAAATGGCTGGAGAGCCTTATTCCGCTGGTCCGCCTCTCCTTTGGGTCCCCCTCCAACCTACACCTAGACCACGACTTCGGCTCGGCACCCCTGCAGAGCGCTAGAGGAGTCCGCCAAGGGGACCCGCTTGGTCCCCTTCTCTTCGCGGCGAGCATCCACCCTTGCCTAGTGGCCACAGCAGCGGCTCACCTGCAGGTGGTGCTACTCGCCTACGCGGATGACATCACGCTGCTTGGCGAGGCATCTGCATGCACTGCGGCCTTCACGCACCTCACGTCCGCGCTCGGCAACATGGGCCTGGTGCACAACCTGGAGAAGTGCGCGGCCTGGTCTGCTTTGGCGGTTGAACCATCCTCTCTACGGCCACGGATCCCCATCTCAGAGGAAGGCAGCCTCAGAGGAAGGCGGCAGATCCTCGGCAGCCCCATCGCCTCGCTCACAGGCTGCGCTGGCGTGGTCAGAGAGAGACTCGCAGCACCCGCTGAACCGGTCCCTTTCCTGTCCCAAATGGACCCCCAACTCAGCCTCCTCCTCCTCACCCGCTGCGTCAGCCGCCGTGCTTCGTTCCTGGCCAGAACAACCCCTCTCGAGGTGCTACCAGAAGCAGAGTGGTCAGTATGGGGGGAACAGCTGCTACATACCTTTCTGGACGCGGCTCATATTCTAACACCACGAAGCGAGGCGGAGAGGAGGCGGATTTGGCGGCAAGCAGCGCTGCCGATGACATTGGGAGGACTTGGCATCAGTGACCCAGCTGTTGAAGGAAGCTACGCTTACCTAGCTTCGGTGATCGGCACCTTCCACCTGCTGCACTCGCTCGGCGACACGCTCCACCTCGCCGTAGCAGCCCTCCTCCCCCTTATGGACTCCATCCCGGACTCCACAGCCGCCCTCCCTGCACCCCTAGCAGTGGCCGAGGCCGACCTCCCCCCCGAGGCTCTGGAGGCCCTCCAAGCAGGGAAAGGAGGACCCCAAGGGCCTCAAACTGCAGCAGTCGCTCGCCCTGGCGGTGCACACCCGTCGCTTCATCAGGGTTTTGAATGCAGCAAGGAGGACGCACCCCAACCCCCTCTCCGGACACGCCCAGCGAATGCAGTGACTGCTGGGCCCCGGAGCAGGGGATTGGCTGCTGGCGATACCTCACATCCCAGCACTTCGCTTGGGCCCATCTCAGCTCTCAACAGCAGCAGCCTTCCGCCTAGGCCTCCTCCTACCGATCCCTCCCAAGGCGATGTGACTGACGATACCGCACCACCTTCCCGGATGATCGCCTCCCCACCATCTCATGCGCTGCGAGAAGGGGACGGGACGAGGTTGCACGAATCGGGGCCGAGGCGGAATACGGTGCACAAAGAGACCTACGTATACTCTCTGGTTGAAAACCATCCGTCACCATCCGTCATCCCCTGACCGGAGAAGTTTGGATGTGTGACCGTGACGGACCCCGTCTCCTACCAAGACGTAAACTGCAACCGGGCACCGGGGTGGGTGGCTATGGCGGCAGCAACGAGGAAGGAGGAGAAGTACGCGCATAGGAATGCGTGGGTGGGCTTCCACACTATGGGAGTGGAAAATTATGACTACCCCTCGCCGGGGGTGCACGCCTACCTGCGGCAATGCGCCGAGCTGGCGGCTAAGCTGTGCTACAACGCTGCTCCGACCTCCCACGAAGCAGCCAAGCTTCTCACTGACTACCGCCAGCGCTGGAGCGTCACTCTCCAGCGCACGCCCTCCGCTCCAAGACCAACGAGGCCTTGGCTGGCAGACGAGCTCGGCACGCACTGCCTGTTCGCCCCTCTTAGTGAGGGGCATCTGCACCAACTGATTGAGCCCCTGCTCGATCACTAGGGTTGGACAGAGGGGGGAGGGCGAGGGTAGGTGAAAATGTGGTAGATAGGATACTGGTCCGCTTGTCTTGCATGTGGTTTGTACTGCCTTGTATCACCCCATATATTTTTACAAGGACCGTTCGAGAGAGAGTGAAGACAAAGTGAAGGGGGTGACGTTTCTTTTGCGGTGTGATGTCATCATATGCATCACATCTTGTCTACCTCTCCTCCCATATTTCTCTCTGAACACCTCAATACTGCAGGAGCTTTACAGCTCGTAAGGAATTATCCTTGATGAGCATGCAATTACGTACAATGCTTCCAAGTTAGTAAGGTGCGCAAATGATTCTGGGATGGAGCCTGACAGTCCGGTTGATAAGAGGTTCCTGCATCCACAGGGACAAGAGGGAGGGGCAAGAGGGAGGGATTGAGAAGTGTGATGTCAGCATGTGCTTCGATGAAGATGAGAACATTGAGTCAAGGAAGGTTGCCATGTATGTAGAAGAATATCAATTGATCACAATGATGTGTGTGTGCCATGAGTCATTGGCAGGTCTTTGTAGGTTGCAAGCCGGTGTCATCTTTGACAGGCCGAACCGGGCTGGCTGAGCCGTACCTAGGCCCGGCTTTGGCCATATGGTGACCGGGTCAGAAACGGTTCGTCTGAACCCTTTTCGGCCCGCTTCAGGCTTATTCGAGTCTGGCACAGTCCAGGGTAGACATGAGCACGAACCGAACTCGAACATGTTTGTGCAAACCTATTCGAACCTTGCATGTTGCTCGAACCGAACCGAACAGGTTTGCTCGAACGTTTTTCAGAATTTGGTTTGAGGTTTGAGTATACAATGGCGAACCCTAAAGGTTTGCTCAAACCTTCTAAGGTTTGAGCGAACACGAACCTTTTCAGGTTCGAGGCTTAAAATGATGCACATGTTACTCTACAACACACGCATGTATACTGGTTTATGGACAGCATCATGTTCTGAAAAAAAGCAAATGAGACGGTAAAAAAAAGTCCCGACACTCCAACCAAGAAAAGTCTAAGGAAAATTCGAACATGAAGAAGAGAACCACCCATCCACACGACCCCATACAGCCTCAACACCCTAAGCATGGGTGAGCTAGAGTTGATCTAGATATAGATCTACTCTGCTCTGCTACGAGTCTAGGGTTGGCTGCCTTCAATTGGCAGCCAACATACGACTTTCCCGTTTTTTACGGGAAAGTCGCGATGGGTTTTTTCTGGCAGGAATTAAATTCGAACCCCTTGCGGTTCGAATTTCACCCTTTCGAACTTCGACCTTGTTCGGTTTGAGGTTTGAAACTCGAACCGAAAAAGTTCGCGCGAACTGTTCGTGCGAACTTCATCAATGTTTGCGCAAACCTTTTTGGCTGGAAAAAAAGTTCAGTTCGAGATAACTCGAACCGAACTTCTCGAACCGAACCAAAGTTCGGTTCGTTGCTCATGTCTAGTCCAGGGTATTAGTACAAGTAAGTGAGATTGCAGAGTAGAGCATGATTTCTATGTAGTAAGCTACAGGTTCTTAGACTCTTAACAGAAAACAAAACGTGGTTTGCACGACAACCTACCGCCTATTCACCGATGGTAAAGAGAAATAAGAGTTTCTGTTTGAAGGTAATTTGGGGAGTGTGAGATGCGCATTTGTGTGCTTGACATTTGTGCGTTCAAGGTTTGTGAATCGCCTTAGCGGTTCATAAGTTACATGCATTTTTGTGTGTGAGTGCATTTCATGAATGTTCATGAATGTTCATGAGTTTCCGTGAAAGCGCATGATAGTTCGTGAGTTTAGTGAGTTCGCGTTTGCGCTCATTGTTTCTCATGTGTTTTCGTGAGTTTTCATTAGAGTTCATGAGAGTTCATATTTTTCGCGAGTTTGAGAGTGTGGTGAGTGTTTTGTCACTTTGACTATTTCTTGCTAGGTCAACCGAGCGCGAAGGTCAGGACCCGCGCGTGGGGTCCTGACACACGCGTGTGGCCCCTCAGGGCTCGCGCGTGTGCCGTGGCACTGTTGCGAGCGTGGCAGGGCCCACGATCGCAACAGGACAGGGCACATTACTGCCCTGTCCCGTACCAGGACATCGCACGATCGCGTACGCGATCGTCCTGTCTTGCATGACCGAGAAATATCTCGGTCATGCTGGCTGGCACGTGGGGACGGGATTTACAGTTGAAAAACTGTATCCCGAGTTGACTCGGCAAACATGAACGCTCGCCAAAAATTCGCGCTCCTTTGCGTGATGATGTCATTGAAGGTACAAAACAGTAAATGCTGTTTTACAACGGTAAATTCCGTTTTGCAACGTGAAAATAGTATTCCCATACGAGTCTTCATGAATACTCATCATAGTTCATGAGTGCTCGCGAGAGGAGTCAGTAGAGGCGTTTGGATGAAATGTAATTTGAAGACAGTTATTCTAAGGAAGCGGATCAAGCCAAATGGAGTTCAAGTTTGACAACCGTTTTTCTCAGACAACATGGCGAAGTCCTACATTACAGTTTAATGACTGTTTGGTGTTTGCCTTGTGTTGCATTTGCTCGTCCATTAGACTTTCTAGAAATGTGTGCTTGTGTTTGATTGTATGAGTGAAAATATTCTCTATCGACGTATTGACGCGAGGAGATTTTTCTGCACACGCACCAATCAATCGTCAACGCTTCCGCATATGAGTTCGGGAATGCTCTAAGAACACACGACAGATTTTCATACTTAGGGAATCCCTCTACAAACACGGACCCTTGGATAGGGGCTGGTTATACCAGGCACCCAAGGACCCTTGGAGGTGACCCCGTGGGGACGACCTAGTGTGATTTAAAGGTGTGCTTAAGAGCGTCTAGGTCCCAAAATAGCAGTCAACACCTAAAACGGAATGCGTAGGATCAGAAGTTATTGGATGTTGACTACACGTTGACCGTTGAGAGGCATACGTTAATCCAGCAGCACAGCAAAGTACTCACAAGTATTTCAAGGTAGTGATCCATCCAATAGTGGATGGAATGGATGCGGTCAAGGTATTATACCCAAAATTCCTGATAAATACAGAGCATGAACCGGGCATAAAGATGGATATTCATCAGAAAAAAAAAAACAGTTTGGAAAGTCGTATCCTGAGCTAGACACGAACAAAATATTTGTTCGGGTAAGGCAGACCCGACCTTAATTGGTCGGGTCACAGGTGCAAATAGACATGAGCAGAAGGGTGAACACCATTTGTTTTTTTTTGTGTTTTTTTTTTTTGGCCGAGCTGCGTCGAACACGAGCATGTTTTTGTTTGATTGTGTTCATGGCGAAACTAAACATGAGCAATGAGCGAACTCAAACACGTTTGATGTGCGGTTGAGCAAGGGCCGAACCAGGTTCGGCCCTGGTCGAAATGGACCGGGCCGGATGGGCAGTTTGACGGCCCGGTTCACCATATACAGGGCGACCCAAAGGATCGGGCAGACCCTTTTTGGCCCTGGTCGGGAAGGTTTGGCCCGGCCCGTGGACCCTTCATTATAGTCGTGTAGGGTATAAAATATATGTTCGCCCCCTGCTCATGACTAGGGATGAGCAAGGGGCGAACACGAACATGTTCGTGTTCGCCCCTACACGAACACATCCGTCTGCCGAACCGAACACTGTTCGGTTCGGCGAACACTTTAAGCAAAAACAGGTGTTCGCCGTTCGCCTGTGAAGGCGTGTTCGGGCGAACCTCGAACACGTTCGTGTTGGTCGCGGGGCAAATTGCAGCAGTGGCCCGAACACGAACGTGTTCGGGTGAACCTCGAACACTGTTTGGCGAACACTTTAAGAAAAACAAAAAAAAAACCTGTTCGAGGCGAACCGAACAGGTGTTCGCCCTTGTGCTCATGTCTACTCATGACTAGTACCACCGCCCAAATTACAGTTCAAAAAAACGTCTAGAGATGCACAATAAGGAAAGAAAGTGGATACAACATGAATGATAGCACTGTGTCAACCTTGGAATTTGTTAGAAGAGAACATCAAGGAACACAACTTGTCACCCATTTCTAGAAATCGGTGCACATGTTGAACGTGAAGTGAAGTCTTATGAAGCTGAAAGAACATCTTACAGTACGTAAAGAGTTAATAGATTGCCAATGGATTCAGGAATCGTGCCATTGAAGCTGTTTCTGAAAAGCGACCTGGCAAGAAAGTTAGGGAATTGATACCAGTGTTGACTTTATTGGATGCAATTATTCGTGCTTAACGACACGCATAAAGAACCAATTCAGTGAACTGCATTGGGATAGGCATAAGCAAGGCCTCGAGCAGAATTAAGATGAGCTCGTGTCGAGTTGAATGTAGTCGAGTAGAAATTACACTAGGCATGAAGAAACGGCCCCGACCCGTCCCCAACCGACCCGGTTTGGTCAGGTCTCGGCTAGTCCAACGATTCAGGATATAAAGTTGGATTTAATGAGCTTGGGTTCGATTCCGGTTGGCCCAGAAGCGGGTCGTTTATCTGTACCCGGCTTTGCCCACGCTCTGTGTAGATCGGCGATTTCCCCAGCGATCTGCGCTGATCAGCCATTTCGCCCGCCGGTCTGCATAAATTGGCAATTTTGCCCACCGACCTGCACAGATCGGCGATCGCCCATAGCTCTGCGCAGATCGACGACTTTGCAAGCCCTGTTTGGTTTGCCTTAAACAAGCGTTTTTTTTTTTTGGGACCCTTTATGTTCGGGACAAACATGTTCGTGTTCGAATGTGTTTGTGGCAATCATTTGGGGGAGGAGGGCGGGTAGGCCCTTAGTAGGAGGAAGCGAAGGGGAAGGGAGAGGAGGGCTGGATGGCCCTTAGGAGGAGGAAGCGAGGGGGAAGAGGAGGAGGGCTGGATGGCCCTTAGGAGGAGGAAGCGAGGGGGAAGGGGGAGGAGGGCTGGATGGCCCGAAGGAGGCGGAAGCGAGGGGGAAGGGGGAGGGGGGCTGGATTGCCTGAAGGAGGAGGAAGCGAGGGGGAAGGGGGAGGAGGGCGGGAAGGCCCTTAGGAGGAG